AAAGAGCCAATGCCAGAAACCTCAAAAGGAGTTCAAGAAACTCATCCTTACAATTCTCTTCCTCTAGAATCACTCTTGGGACAAAAATCTGTGGTTCTCTAGGAGACAGAATAAATAGGGTGTGTGTGTGTGTGTGTGTGTGTGTGTGTAATACCCCATCAGCTCTCCTCATTCTCAGGCCATCAGACTCAGACTAAATGAACGGGCACCCTGTGGACCAGTTGAGTTAACACATACAATTAATTATATTATGTATAGATTTTTTAAAATGGCCACTGTTATTTTTCAGCTCCTCCTATCAAGACTTAGAGTCTAATTCTTTCTCATCCGAATCTGGGTGAGTCTTGGGATTTGCTTTCAACAGTAAAATGTGGTAAAAGTGACAATATGCCGGTTTTGGGCCTAGGCCATAAGAAGTCTGTATGCCCCTGCTTTTGAACAATCTTTGATTAGCCTACTAGAAGATGAGAGACACAGGACCCAATCACTCCTGCTGTTCCAACTGCTAGCCAGCCAGCTGCCAGACAGGTAGGTAAGACCATCCTCCACCAGCCAGATATTAGTTGATCTGCTGGCTGAACAGAGACATCTACCTAAGACCAGCTGGGATCAATGTAACCCAATGCGGATCAGCAGAAAGGGCCAGCTGACCCATAGACTTGTGATCTATGGTTATTGTCTCAACAGTGACTTGCTTTCAAGTCACTAAGTTTTGAAGTAGTTTGTTATGCAGCCAAAGCTCACTGACACAGATGCCTTGTCAGTCATTTTAAGTTAAAGCCACCCGCTATGGACCATTTCCTGTGCCCTCTGAGGTGGGAATCATTAAATATGTAGGGAGAAACTATTAAACCTATTATGCAGTTTATAAAACATAAACTCTCATAAGCGGGTTCTACAGCAAGCCTGTATGTAGGTGCATTGTCATTATAGACAGATAACCCTACTCAAGAGTCCACAAATGAATTTGAACCATCAATACTCAGGATAGGCTAGTAACATATGATATGCCTGGAATTCTTTGTTTTGTGAATGAGCAGATTGCTATAAATAAGTCATAACAGAATTGGTTGATACACTTTTTCTAGAGCATAGATTGCTAAAACCTGTGGTTAGGGACCTAAAATAAGGTTTCATGAGTATAACTGTAAAAAAAATACTCATGAAAAGGAAAGAATGTGACAAAGGTGGAGATCCTAAAATAGGTCTAACAAAGCAACCAAAATCAGGGAAAAAGCCACGTCCATGGTCAGTCAGGCCTGCTACCAGCCTCACCACAAGGGCGCTCTGAAGCCATCTGCTACTCAGCTCCTGGGGCTCTCAGTACCTCTTGCACTTACTGCCTTATTGTTCACCAAGCCAGGCCCTTTGCTCTTGAAATATGCTCTTCCTAGAAAGCTCTTCCCACAGATACCTCATGACTCACTCAGCTCCTCTCTGTGATGGTTAATTTTATGTATCAACTTAGCTGGGTCACAGAGTGCTCAGATATTTGATGAACTGTTATTATGGATGTTTCTGAGAGGGTGTTTTAGATGAGATTAACATTTAAATCAGTAGCGTGGGCAAAGGAGATTACCCTCCCTAAAGTAGGTGGGCCTCATCCAATCAGTTGAAGGCCTGAATAGGGCAAAAGGTTAACTTTCCCCTAAGTAAGAAAGAATTCTTCTGCCTGATGGCCTCTGAACTAAGACATTGGTTCTTTTTGATTCTACAGCAGCCTGTGGCTTTTTTTTTTTTTTTTTTGAGACAGTCTATCACCCAGGTTGGAGTGCAGTGGTTAGGTCTTGGCTCACTGCAACCTCTGCCTCCCAGGTTCAAGCAATTCTCATGTCTCAGCCTCCCAAGTAGCTGAGATGACAGGTAGCACCACGACGCCCAGATAATTTTTGTATTTTTAGTAGAGGCAGGGTTTCACCATGCTGGCCAGGCTGGTCTTGAAACTCCTGACTTCAAGTGATTTGCCAGCCTTGGCTTCCCAAAGTGCTGGGATTATAGGCATGACCCACTGTGGTGACCAGAAGCCTGTGGCTTTTGGACTCAGACTGGGACATCTGCTCTGCAGATTTTGGACTTCCCAGCCTCCATAATCACATGGACAAATTCCCTTGCCATATACCTCATACACCTACATATGCATGCATGAATATCTCCTATCGGCTCAATTTCTCAGGGGAACTCTGACTAATATATCTCCTTTCTGGAGGTCACCTTCTCAGTAAAGTCTTCCATAACCATCCTATTAAAACAGAAAACTATTCCCTATCCCTCTTTCTTTCTTAATTCTCTGCAGTTTTTACTACCACCCAACATGCTATAACTTTACCTCTTTATTTAATGTATTGCTTGCCTATGAAAACTTAATGGGAGTAGGGATTTTTGTTCATCTTTCCCCTCACTACCCTGGACTTCTCAAGCATGAAGAACAATGCCTGGAACATAGTATATACTCCATAAATATTTGTTGAATGAATAAACTTGAAAAGAAAGACATTTTGTTCTGATACTTTTTTTCTGAGCTTTGCAGATTTCACACACACAACTCATAAGAAATGTGGTTGTAATGGTCTGCGTAACTGCCACAGAGAATATTCCAGAAGGATGTGCAAGAGCATGGAAGGGAAAAAGACCTTTCAGTTACCTCACCTGGGAAAAGCAGACATTAAGGAAGGTACTAATAAATGGAGGAAACAGAATTCATTGTTAGTGTATTAGTTTTGTATGGCTGCTATACTGACTTACCAAAAATTGAGTGGCTTAAAACAACAGAAGTATATTCTTTCACAGTTCTGGAGGCCAGAAGTCTGACATCAACATGTCAGCAGGGCCACATTCCTTTGGGAGAATCAGTTCCTTGCTTCTTCCACTTTCTAGTAGCTGTCATCATTCATTGATCTGAGCCTGCACCACTCCAATCTCTTCCTCTGTGGACACATTGCCACCTCCTCCTTTTCTTTCTGTGTGAAATCTCTCCCCACATCACTCTTCTAAGGACATACATTGATTTGGTTTGGATGTGTCTCCATCCAAATCTCATCTTAAATAGTAGCTTCCATAATCCCCATGTGTAATGGGAGGGACCCAGTGGGAGGTAATTGAATCATGGGGGTGGGTTTTGCCCATGCTGGGAATAAGTCCCATGAGATCTGATGCTTTTATAAAGGGCAGTTCCCATGCACATGCTCTTTTGCCTGTCACCGTATAAGACATACCTATGCTCCTCCTTTGCCTTTCACTGTGATTGCGAGGCCTCCCCAGCCATGTGGAACTAGGAGTCCATTAAACCTCTTTTTCTTGTAAATTACCCAGTCTCTGGTATGTCTTTGTTAGCAGCATGAGAACAGATTAATACACACATCATTGGATTTAGGGCTCACATGGAAGACCCAAGATAATCTGCTCATTGCAAAATCCATACCTTAATAACATCTTTAAATATCTCTTTTCCAAAGAAGGGAACATTCACAGGTTCCAGAAAATAGGATAATGACATGTGTTTTGGGGGACCACCACTCAACTCATAATGGTCAGATAAAAAATTGGATTTTACCATGATTCCACAATGACAATCTTCAAGGTTGTTGTCTAGATGCCAACATGGGGGCACTTTGTGAGGTATGTGGGCCTTTGTCATCACGACAACTAAACCTCCAGTTCCCTAAGGACTCAAGCTAATTGAAATTAATAAGTAAAGTTTTAAACAGTTGCTTACTATAGTAATGATATTTTTCAGGAAGCCATGTGCTAAAAGCAAGACCAAGCGTTTTTTTAAGACAAGGGAGTCAGCTGTGGGTCAGGCTCTCGATTCTGATGCTTTTCTCTCATTTCTCATAATCTTATGATAGGGATTCTTACAATCTGGCTCAAGAGTTATCATGTGCTCTAATCCACGCAAAGGCAACACATTGCACTTTGCACTCAAATTTTTTAAATGTTATCTAGGTCATCTCTTAAGTAATCTGTTAAGCAGCACAAGGACATGTAAAGAGATTCAAGTTCAGAATTTCGGGCTGTTTTTCCTGGTGCTAGTCTCTATGTCCCATGACTGTATTTTCACCTTTCTCTGGCGTTCAGGAGGCTTGAAGCTTTTAAATGAAATTTAATTTGTTTAAAGCATTATAATGAGCAGTTTTCATGACCAAGTGTTCCACAATTTATTGAAATATCCTATATAACCCTCCAGTTTCCTGAGTAAGTATAAACAACTATTCTATTTAAATTTTAATACCACTATATTTTATTATAGCCAGCCAAAGTTTCTTTTTTGCTGTTAGAAGTGGAACCACTCAAGTCTTAGACCTTACCTTTTCTAGGTCAATAAAATGTCTATTAAAAGGTCCTATGCCAGTGGCACGTAATATCTAATGAGTGAATTCATAGTCTGATTCTGGCATTAAAAACCCTTTGAAAATTGAATTTTCACTACTCTGGGCACCCTGCCTATGGGATAGCCCTGCTACGTGAGAAGTAGTACAAAAAAAAAAAAAAAAAAATTAACCTTCAACCGAAAATGGGGAAGTATTTGTGAAATTCATTTCAAAAAGTCATTTAGCTAAAAATGACTAGCTGGTTATATTTTAAAATATTATTTTAAAAATAAATAACATGGTGGTATATGTCTGTAGTCCCAGCTACTTGGGAGGCTGGGGTGGGAGGATTGCTTGAGCCCAGGAGTTTCAGGCTGCGATGAGCTACTATTGTACTACTGCACTCCAGCCTGGGTGACAGAGTGAGAGTCTGTCTCTAAAATAAATAAATAAATAAATAAGTAACAATATAAACTTTCATATTTGGGGGCTTAGTTTTTAGGAAAAAGAGGCACATTACAATAAAAGAAACTGCTGTGATTTATTCACCATCTCAATATCTAAGGTATGGCCTGAGGTCTTAGTGATGGACTTCACAATTTCTTAAAAAATTAATCAATTAATACAATAAAACAAAGCACATTTTTCATAAACATGTAAGACAAACTTAGATCCAGATTGGGTGCTCTAGAGGGCTGTTTCCTGCGTGGTTATCTCTTCCATCATAGTCCACAGGACTCTGAGAAGTTGCAGGAATATGCAGGTGCACACTTGAGGCCCAGCTTCATCTCCAATGTCATGGAAAGGGACCGTACATCATGGGGGCAGAGCCCTGTGCTCCCTTATGCCACTTGGACACAGCCTGGGGAAAGTGACCTCCTGGGTGTATCCACATTGGAGACCCCACTATTTTATCATGACCTGACTTTCATACTGATGACCCCAAAACAATATACACCAAGGCCAAATAATCTAATTAGTAATAAGAGCAGGGCATTTAGAGTGATTTCAAAATAAGTATTGAGAGAAAGAAGGATCACCAGTTAACATGTGGTCAAGTTGATATGACTATTCCTCATGTAGCTGAGAGAAACTTAATATGACTATCCATCATGTAGCTGAGAGATGTGGGAGCCAATAAAACAGCAAGGTTGCCTTCTCCTCTTGTCCAGGGTGCTGTGAATTTAAGCAGCTGTAATAGACTGATGGCAGTGATGGCCTCCACTTGTGAAGATCAGTGTGCTTCTAAAAGCTATGTCTGAAACTCAAGGGATTCTGGGATTCCCTGAGGCATCTATTCAAAATCTGGGCTAGAATATACATCCTGCCCAGACATACTGATGCCAGCCTTCAGATAGATTTTACTACAATTAGTACATGGAGACTCATATTCAGTAGGTTCTGATGAGATGCTTAAATTAAAAAAATATATCCATAAAGTTTACCTTCATTTAGAAAGGGTACTTGATCTGATACATAAAGGGAAAATGAAGTAATGAGTAAGTGGTCCTGATTGTTTTCTTTGTCTTCCTAATCCTTAACCAGAGAATATTTTTTTCCCACCAAATGTGTATTGGGTGGTCCTTACCTATGTTTTCTTCTCAGAGACATAAAAGCAGAATATTACCATTTCTTGGATTATAGGAGTAGCCACCTAATAGGTTTCTTGGTTCCCCTCACCAATTCATTTTCCCCATCACACTCAAAGAGATTCTGCTAAAACAAAAACTGGAGCATGCCCTCTCAATGGCTTCTCTCATCTTCTGGATAAAGCTCCAAGCCCTTGATAGTTCTTGCAATGGTTTTGCATGCTCTGGCCCCATTATGCTCTCCCTTGGTCTCAGCTCTTTATCATAATGGACTTCATTCTGATCCTTCACTAGTCCCTTTGCCTCAGGCCAGGTACATCTGCTATTTCCTTTGACTTGAACCCCATCCTATGACTTCTAGGAGTTCTCATTACTACTTACACATCTGTTATATTGCCTTAAGCCTCACATCCTCTGCAAATGACGTGCAGTGAAGCTAAGACTCTGTTTTATATTATTAATAGGCCATCTCTTGGACCAGTAGTTATAAATCAAAGACCGCTGATAGTGTAAGTACTTTGAAAAGAGATTTAGGATTATATATGTAGACAATTTGAAGTAATTATCAAACATAGGTTGGCTTCATAATATTTTCTGACAGAATCATCTCTTTGGTACTGGATACTCTATGTGCCAAAAATATCCATCATGTCCAAAGCTGCCACTGTGTGCTTTGGAGCTTTCAAGAATAATTTCAAAATCCTTTCAGTCATGCAAATTTTTATTCCGAGTACTTTCTTTTTGGTTTTAAAGCCTAATGATCTATACGTTGTTAAACAGTCTGTTCTACATTCTCTATTCTTAAATATTAAATCAAATTAAAGAAACAAGACACATCAATGAGAAATCCAAATGTCAAAATGACTGATTTTTTTGGAAAAGATCAATCCATGGACTACTTCCTGGCATGCAATGTCAGGGCTTTCTGTACTGAAGCAATGAGAAGTCTTCAAATCCATCGATGGAACATTCCAGAAAGCATCTCTTTACTGAGGATGTACATAAAGACAGTAAAAACCAAAGCATGTGTGTAAGGATTGGGCTCAGAAATCCTTTTAAAGGATTTTAAAGAAGTCTAAGTTCTCATATTCTATGAATGAAGATGTTCATCTGAATTATCCCCTAGTGGGCAATGGGCAGAACTGTTATGGGGAGGTCAGTGGGCACACACTGAGGAGATGGGGACTTACATTTGTGCCTGACCCCGAGCCATGCCTAAGAAAACTTGGACAGTACTCTTTTGGAATCACAGACTTTTCCTGATGATTTACTCTTCTGAAGACAGTTCTGCTTATGGCTAATGCTGGGGAATTAGAGGCTTACATGAAGTATATTCCAGGAGGATTTGTTTCCCTAACATTTTATTATGAAAATCTTTACACATATATAACAGTTGAAAGCATTTTACAGTGGACACCCATACACCTACCACAAAGATTCCACCAGTAGCACTTACCATACTTGCTTTAGCATATGTCTATATCATTTATCCTTTTGGGCGCATTTCAAAGGAAGTTGCAGGTGTCGATATAAATACTTTATTATATGTATTATTAACTAGGATTCATGAGGATTAAGAAGGGGTCTCTGGGCTGGGTGCAGTGTCTCATGCCTGTAATCCCAGCACTTTGGGAGGCCGAGGTGGGTGGATTATGAGATCAGGAGTTTGAGACCAGCCTGAACAACATGGTAAAACCTGGTGTCTACTAAAAATAGAAAAAGTAGCCTGGCATGATGGTGCACACCTATAATCCCAACTACTCAGGAGGCTGAGACAGGAGAATAGCTTGAACCTGGGAGGCAGAGGTTGCAGTGAGCTGAGATCATGCCACTGCACTCTAGCCTGGGTGACAGAGTGTGACTGACTCTGTCTCAGAAAAAAAAAAAGGGCCTCTGCAATAGAAACATGATTCTCTTTCTCAAACATTAATTCCACTGGGCCTAGGAATTTCCTGAGCGTCCCTTAAGGGAATCTACTCAGGACAAAACCATGCATTTCATCTCTTCCTAAAGAACTACATACACATATATCAGGGAAGAAAATAAAAGGTGTTCCTTCTCCCCATTCCCCATACAATCTTGTCCGTCAACATTATCAAGTGGGTTGGCAGGGCTCCCTAGAGCGCTTTGTCATGGCACTAGTAAATTCATAGGTAGAGAAGATACAATCCTAGTTCTGAAGAAATTCTCAATAGCTCCTATTCTGATAGGGAATAACTTAATGAAGTTCTTGTGTGTATTTAAACCTGGCCCAATAAGAGACAATATATTCTTATTAGTGAGCTCATCCTCAAGAGATGGGAAGAGATGGTCATAATGAGAGCAGATTGAGTCTGGATTGGCTCAGGTCCCACTGCAAAATAATTTTCCATTGTCATAGGCATTCGCCTAAGAGAATGTTTTTTTAAAAAAAGATAATTGGGATTGCTGTCAAGAGGGTAAGTAAATTTCCCTGTTTCATATTGTTAAACTTTTGCGAGGACTTAATTTGCCTTTTGACAATGGGGAAGATGGTGAATTACAAAGAGAAGTGAGCTATGGAGAGTATCCTAAAAAAACCCGCGAAGACATTGAGAAAGCTGAGGGTTTGATGGACCCCTTTGGATACATGTTAAAGGCTATTGCCAATGTTTCCAGAACTTTCACCCTTATCCACCATCAAATCCCCAAATGCAGAATATCCCAGAGCCATCAAATCAGGGCATGAATTCTCGATACACTTTCCCTTCTCCTTATTGATTTCATTTCCCAAAACTAAACAGAATTTTTTTCTGAAACTAGTATGTGATACTACTCTTTTCCTTCCTTTAGCTCCAGGGTTGGAAAACTTTTCTTAAAGAGCTGGAGAATAAATATTTTAGATTTTGCAGACTATAAAGTCTTTGTCACAACTACTCAATGCAGCTGTTGTAGTGTGAACACATAGACAATATATAATGGAATGGGCATGGCTGTGCTCAATAGAAATTTTAAGGACACTAAAATTTGAATTTCAAATGATTTTCACATGCTCTGAAATATTTTTCTTATTTTGATTATTTTTCAATCAGTTCAAAAGGTCAAAATCATTCATAGTGCACGGGCTGTGCAGAAAGAGGCGTTGGCCTGGATTTGATCCCTGCTCTTGTTTAGCACTATTCAATAGAACCCTCTGTGATTGTGGCAAAGTTGCATATTGACACTGTCCAATGCCATAACCACTAGCTACATGAGAATATTGAGCACATGAAATGTGGTTAGTGTGACTGAGGAACTGAATTTTAAATTTTATTCAATTTTTCAATAATTTATATTTGAATAGCCTCATATGGCTAGTATTCACCACCTTGGACAGTAGAGCTCCATAATTTTCTTTCCTATTAACTTGAAAAAATGGTCTTATATCTTGCCTACATTAAAATGGACCCCCAAATCCTTTCCTTTGCTTCTTAAGTTATATAGCTATAACTCTGAGGAGATCACAGTTGATGTCTTGATTTTATATATTACATACAAATGCAGGGAAACACACACATAGTACTTTCAAATACCCATACTGCACATGTGCTTGGGTGCATACAATCCTGATATAGCTCTCCATTGGAATTCCATCACTTCCAAATTCAGTGAACAAATAATCATGGGGAAAAAATGCTTACCACTTAGCAAGGACAGTCCCCTTCTATTCAATGTCTACTATAAAAATGCAGTATTGGATAATAAAAACCATCACATAGCATAAGCTTAAACTTTTCTGGTGGTTTCCTCAGTTACTTGTTACAAAATCCTATGCCTCTTTTAGACAGCTTGTAACAATAATGAACCTGAAAAAGTGACCTAAGAGATGTCATCTTCTGATATTTGCAAAGTGATAATTTACAAGTAAATGACAGTACATAAACTCTAGGTCATCTTAAATAAAATCTCAGCACTTCATGCTGAGCTCACAGGTCAAGGCCAGAGAAGCTGACCAGTGAAACACAAAAGCATAAAATCACTACCATTGAAATGGTTTTGGTAGCAATCATTTGCCATACCTGTAAAGTCTTATTCATTATAAAATGATGCAATTATGTTTTTCATCTTGATTAAACCTATTTAGGGTGAAACTTCTATTATCATTGGCAAAGAAGATTTAGGTTTAACTAAGGAAACTCTAGAGTGAGAGATGAATGACAGTTGTCTGTCATGGGTAACACAAAGCAATAAAAAAGAAGTTTAAGTTAATGGTGAGAAAATAAACATTTGCCCTTAAAATCCTAGTGCTGAGTTTAGAATAATCCCAGGCCTGGTTGTTCACTGAAAGCTCTCCATGGCTCCATCTAAGGCC